ACGGTCTTATGTATAAGTTATTTTCTAGTTCTATAATAAGAACTAAAAATAATGTAACTTTTAATCATGATCCTTATCTTGTATAAAAAGGTAGATCACACTTATTGCTTTTCTAAAATTTTACTCTTTCACAATTTTAGAGAATAGAGAGAGAGAAAAGTTGCATAAGAGAAAAAAAATTTTAAATATTATAATGCATTTAATAAAGATAAATTAAGAATTTTATTTCTTTTTTAGACATCAATAATGTAACTGCCTTTCTTTAATTTTACATTAGAAGTAACTTATATATAAGATTAGAAAAAGTACTTGCAAACTAAGTGAGAATTCTAATATATTAATTATTTTTTTAACCTTTGGAAGAAATTATATCTCATGAAAAATAAAGAAAAAATTATTTCTAATCTCAATGCATTATTGACAAGTAGACTTATTTTATTTAGCATAAACTTACATACCTAGCTTTATATACTTAATATATTTATAACCAATTAAATCATGTCAAGTGGATCTTATGTTAATAAAATTAATAATTTATAGAATAAATAATTTATAAAAAATCTATATATTTTGATTTAATTAAAAACAAGCACATTAAATATATAAGGCTAAGTATATAAGTTTTTTTTCTTTTTTGGTGAAAATATAAGTTTTCCCCATTTATTTAATGGTATTTCTTGATATATATATATATATATATATATATAAAAGTAATGTTAGCGATTTCACAATTAAAGTTAATAATTTAACACGTCACAATAACAAGTAATAATATTAATAATTTTGTAAGTAAAATTAATAATTTAACAAGCCATGATGATTAAATTAGGTTTGATAATGCATAAGTAATGTTATGAATTTCACAAGTGCGGACAAGAAATTAAAATTGATAAGTAATGTTAGGGATAATTTTGTGAGTAAAGTTAATATTTCAATCATTATTCAAGAAGGACATTTCAGGAAGTAATCTAGGAGAAAGCAAAGGATGAAGAAGACAATGTGTGGAGTGTCCACGTGGGCAGTGGCAGCCTGCCCATGTTCAACAAGAAGACATCCATTGCCATGAGCCGTAAGAAATGGTGATGTGCATATTGGTGTGTGTCCATACACAGACACAAGCGCTTACACGCACCAACAAATTAGGACATGTTATCTCATTGGTCAATCCTTATCCATACCAAAATATAATATATGTGGTTCCGTTTGTATGCTGGAGATCTTCACGTGACTGCAAATTTCTCCATCAAAATTGCGTGCAATTGGATTAATGAGAGAACTAATTCTTTTGTCTAGGATCAGCTTTGGAAACAGCTAGCCTACCAATGAAAAGCAAAAATCAAAACTTTCTTTGAGAGATCAACTCTGGTATGTGATTCTATAGATTCATCAATTCACATTATTATTTGTGCATGATTGCATTGTTGTGAGAGAGACCTGGCCTAAATTGGTTAAAGCATCAAAACTAATTAACACCTTTTACCTCTACTACTCCTTTTGAAACTCTAAGAATGAATTGGGAAATCAAAGCTGCAGGAGAATTATTCCTTGGCAAAGACATTATTATTTAGAAAGATATAGTGATATTGCATTCATAGTTATCAATGACATCAGCAAACTCCAACCGTTGAATAGAATATCCTCGACCCTAGCTTTGGGGACACACACTTAAGGTATTGATGATGGCTTTGTTGATAAAGCATGAAAGTGTATCTTTGGGTTTGCTGAAATTCTGGGGATGCTTGAAGGCTTAAGAATCAGCAAGAACAATGAAATGACCATCCTCAGTGATCTTCTAATGCACTGAGATTGGATTGTTTTGTTTAATTATACGTCTCACAAATGATATCATCCATCTACATGATGAAGCTGTCACACCCTGGTTACTCCTCCTGGTGAGGCTAGCTAGTTGTTTTTTCTCCCTTGTTTTCATATGGCCTTTGTAGTGTGTGTGTTTCCATTTGTTTCTATTTCTTCCTGCTTGGCCACCAAAATACTAACGAATCTACTATATATATCCTGCTAAGTATCACAACAAAAAGAACTTCAAAATTTGTGCACAAAAATTCTATCTTCTTGGTGGCCTTTAATTTATAAGTAACCACAACTCTCTTCTTAACTTATTTATCAAAAATATAAATTTATTTAATATCATAATCTTTCTTTGATTGAAATTTAATTTCGTAATCTCGAAATAATATTTCACCATACTTCACAAAAAAATTTATTATTTTTAAAATATTAAAGCATTTGTTAAGATAATTTTTTTTCATAACTATCTGAAATCAGATATTATCAAATAATGTTCAAAATGAAGCATTAACAAGATTAAAATAATAAAAGTAACTTTTTCTTAACATAATTCTTTTTCATCTATAATATTTATTTAAACCTCTGTGATTTTATTTAAAGTATATCATACTTATTCTATTCAACCAGCCCCAATTTTTTACTCTTAAATTAATTCAACTATTAAGATCCCCATATATATCACATGCTTTTGACTATTCTCTATTCTCCAAGATATGCATGACCTCATGATGACCACCGAAAAACTAAAGCAGCTACAAACAGGTTCATTAAAATCAGGGGCCATGTGGCTTGCCATGGCTGTGGAGGTTTGGTCCCCTCCCAATTAAAAAAAAAAAAAAAAAACTCCATACCCCAAACACATACACACATATACATGCATAAATACATGTATAAATATACATCTTATTTTATCAGTGCATTAAATAAATACTCTTTTATTTATAAAATAAGACATTTTTTAGAAAACTTATTTGGTCTAAAATATAGAATAGTTATAATATTTTTTAAATTATACTCTTACTTTATCTATTATTTAAAATAATATGTTAGAATTTCAGTTGTTATTATTAAGGTATTTATATAAAATCTTTAATAAGAATATAATTAAAAAGCTGCACAGATAACTAATTAGAGTTGGGTCTAATGAAAAGATTAATTCCTTATAATGTAGCAAATTAATGTTTGAAATTTAATCAAAATCAAAATTGAAAATGTTGAAGTGATAAATTGAAATCTTAATTGCAATAATATTTTTTAGAGAATTTAGGATCACAATAATTAAATAAGCATAAGAAAACAGTGCATGCATGCCTTGAATCACACGGTACCTTGTTAATTTGTCTGTTATAGCTTATAACGAAGGGGAAGTACTGTCGACCTGGACTCTTTTGTAATTTCCTGATTGCATGTGCTTAGTTTTTTATATTTCATTTATGTCAATTAAAATATTAAATTAAATTAATACATACATAAATATTTGTGTGTGTGTGTGTGTGTGTGTATAGAGAGAGAGAGAGAGACGCAGAGAACGATAAATTATATATAATGACCAAAAGAAGTTGACCAACAAAAGATGGAACGTTAATTCTGAATATATAAGCAAGTGAGCATAACATAAATAAAAGAGAATCAATTTATATATTAGTGAACTAGTGTTTAAAGAAATTTGGATCCGGTAAATGGTCTAAATGTTTTGACTTAATATGTGCATCACAACAATAATAACCGTTCAATTTAATGGAATGAATGTAGGAAATTTTATCATATATAATACTCAAAAATATCAATTCCAAATTTTTTTTAGAGAGTGCTCTGATTTTGAGAATTATTTTAAATCTTTGAAAAAAAAATATATCCTAATAATTTTTACATATTGATAAAATTTAATGGTTATAACTGAAATACATATTGAATGGGTGGATTTAAATCACTCATAAAATCCAAATCTGTGATTGAGTGTAAAAATTCTCATTAACATAATTTTATATAATTCATTAGTGACATATATACCAGACTCTGATATAAACACAATACGTTCCTGACATGTATGCATTCCCTTACAAATGAGAATGTTATTGTATCCATTTTGTAACAACTGAAACTGTTGATTAACTTAATCCGAGCTAACATAAACCGGAAACTTCGTCATCCTAACACTAACAAAAAATCATGGAGAACCATTAGTCCGTGACTTCTTTCTGATTTGATGACTAGATATTATAACTGAGAGAAAGAAGAAACTTCAAATCAAAGCTATTTCTCAGCAAGTTCCATTGGCACACTTGGCATGGTTCCAGCGTTCAGCTTCACCGACTACTAAGATTTTTTGTTTTCTTTTCTGCCTAATTTATGGCTTCAAAGCGATTTCAGCCAAACAAATACGTAGAAACTCAGATTAATTTTCCCTGAAAATGAAGGGAACGGCGTGAAAACACTGGCGACCGTATCATGCATCATTATCAATGTTGAAATCGGTTTTTTTTATCTCCATAAACGTGGCAGAGTGAATGTCCGGTGCATCAAAAGCCTAGAAAGTGCTAAATTGGAAGCCATTGGAGCTTCCGAGAAGCATATCTGCAAGGGATATTGAATTTTCCACTTAGGTTTTGCCACTTGCCAAACACGGTTACTGACTCTGACGTTTATCACTGAACTGTCCCTTCAATCACCTTGTCTTCATCATTAACATCAAAAAGAAAGGCGGCACTGACTTATAAATGAAACTTTAATTCCATTAAAAAAAAATGCTACTCCAGTCCCTTTTATAAAATAAATTAAATTTTTTTATCCAATTTAAAAGATATTTTACAAATTTTTTATTGTAAATTTTTTTTACCCTACTTAATATTAAAGAGAAAAAAATATGTTAATTCAATTATATATATATATTTTAATAGAGGTAAAGGTAAGGTAAAATTTATAAATTTTTAATAAATTTTAAATTTTTTATTTTTAAAACATATTAAAAATTATTTATAAATAAAATTAAATACATTTTTAAAGTACTTGTGAGACCACTATTAATAAAAATAGTCTCAGTGAGTGTTTGAATTACTTTGCACATATACGACGATAGTATCTTCGAAATTTCTAGAATACCAGGCCTCTGGGTTATAGATTAAAAAAAATAACCTAGGTCAGCGTAGACCCTAGTTATTGAACCACCATTATAAAAGCCATCCATGTCTTGTGTTTCTGCCAATCCATCGCCACCAAACCAAACCAACTTTCCAACGCACATCTTCTCTCCCAAACTCTCTTTCTCTCTATCTCTCTCTAGTCTACTTGAGATTTACCCATTTCTCTTCTATCTAGCCCTTCAATCTCTTCTTCTTCACCATCACCTTCTGCACCAAATCTGTGCAACAATGGCGAGTTCACGCATTGCGAGGTTCGTCATGGAGGTAGCCCCGCCACAGTATGTGACTGTGATGAGGCACAGAACATCAAAGATGTTGGATACAATTACTGAAGAGGACCACAGGGAAATCGGCAGCCTCAACAACGATCATCATCCTCATCATGGTTCATCATTCTCATCATCATCATCATCATCTTCTTCTTCTTCTTCTTCACCGTCGTCTTTATTCCCTAAAAGTTCATCAGCAGCAGCAGCATCCATATCATCGGCATCTTCATCATCCTCAGTTTCAATCCCAAGTGCTGATTCCAAGTACTTCCTCAAGGAGGTTCATCGATCGCTCTCCAACTTGAACCACTGAGAGTGATGAGATGGTAAAATGAAGACGCTAGCAGATTCATAGCAAATCCAAATCCTCGGCTGAAATAGAAGTGTCTCAACTTTTCCTTTAGGGAAGATCAAATACTAGAACTTATGTTCATCTTTCTATGCATATATATAAGACAATTTTATATCCAACATGAGTACTTTCCTTTATATTATTAATTTGCTCTTCTTGTTTTTAAGCTAATCACCTTGCTTTGTATCTCTCCTTTAAAGATTATATAATAAAAGGAGCCTTAATCATCAGTGGAGAATTACGCATTTTGCAAGGTATATATATACATACCTTGCATATCAGATGGTGTATATACAGTTACCGGTATTCCTTACATTCAAAACAAGGTTCATCAAATTAAAATGCTTCATCCCATGATACTTAATATGAGACTTTTTAATTAAAGCATTATTTTTCCCTAAACGTTGGTTTGCTACTTTTAATCATCTAGCTAAACAACCTCCTATATTAATTAATTTCATTGAGAATTTTTATATTTTCAAAATAATTTATGTAAAGCTGTTAATATAATTGGTACTATTTTATAATAAGGAGGGACACCTGCATGCATGCTTTTAGCCAAGCTAATTAATTCCACACATTTGTTTGCTTCACGGTCCACATATGAGAGAACCTAATAGTCCAACCCTGAGTCTCTTGTTTATGTCCGGGAGCATATGTACGATGATTGATTATCGATGTGTGTGTGTGTGTGTGTGTGTCGCGCGCGCGCTCGCGCCCCTCTCTGTGTGTGTGGTGGGGAGGTCGAGAATTCGGAATCGCACTGTAATTAAGGTCAAGAGAAACGAAATCAAACACTACCAGAGTGCCAGTGCTCAATAAAAATTTAAAAATTGTAAAGATTTATGAAGATAATTAAATATACTTGAAAATTTTAATTTTTTAAAGGAGTATAAATTTCTAAAAGTACCTCTCATTTAACACTTTTTTTCACCGGAACAAACTTGATAAAAAGGCTATAAATCAGAATCATAAATTCATAATTCACAATTTCTAGTAAAATTTTAAAAAAAAATTCTTTTAGGGGTGGGCAGTGGAATACAGCACATGAGAGGAACAGTTGTTTAATGCATATAATTAGTGGATAGCTGAGTTTTCTTGACTACAATTAATGCCTAAAGTTTTTATTTCACACAATGGAAGCGTCATCAAAACCTTTGAACTCGATTGACGTATTACTACTTTTTCAAAAATTCTCCTATTCTTATAAGATAAGCAAAAAGAGCATGAGAGTATTTAATAAAGGGTATTTTTGTGAAGATGAAAGTTTTGAAAACATCAATCAATTTTATTTCTTTGTATATTTTTTTTAATAAAAAAGAATGGAGGGAAAAAAAACATATCAATATCTTTTTCGTAGAGGACGGTTCTAATCTGCATTAATATATATAATGAAAAATTTTAAAAAAATGTAATTTATCCTAAACAATATAATTTTGGGACAATTTTCACGTTGTCTGGTTTAATAAAAAAAAATTAGTACAAAAGGAAATAAGAAAACTTGAAAAATAAAATACTTGAAAAAAATAATTACTACGAAACAGTACATACGATAATTTCACATATTGTACCATTCTTTTTTTTCTTTTTGGTGTTATCTAAATTCGAAAGTATCAATCAATCAAATAACATGGTAACACAGGACCCAAAAAATAATAATAACAACAACATTACAATAGTGGAACTTTGACAATACATGGATCAAATTTTTCACGCCCTGTTCACTCACCATGCCTAATGTTTTTGTGTAGAATATTCCCTGTTTATAATTCTTCAAAAGGAAACTAAAAGTTATAGTGCTATCAAATTTTCTACAAATCGAGCTTCATGTCCTTTTGGTGTTGCCACAGATTTTACCTGCTCTCACTCAGCCCCATCCATGACAAGAACAAGATGAAGCCATATCCCTTCTAAACTCTGCCATTAAGTTCTTGTCAAAACTAAACATGTCAACATTCTAATTTCTTGACCAACCATCATGTTGAATGTCGTCATTTTATCAGCAAACATCCTAAAAAGCCCCCAAAGAATCGCAGTATTCGTTAGCTTCCACTACAACATACCATGCCTCAGTGTAACTTCCATTGTAGAACTTTCCTTGTTGGTTCATTTGCTTGGATGTCTTCCCCAAGGATCATAAACTGCAAGATTAGCGTATAAGCAGCTATTCCCCTGTGTGCTCTTTCTCATCCTCTTTGCTTGGGACGCCTCTGAACTGCTCTTGCGTTTCTTTCCGGCTTCCAAAACTGTCACTTTAAATCTTTTCAGTGCTGATAAGAGAAATTAAAATTAGGGTTAATTCATTAACAGGAATAATGTGTACAACAATATTCTATTTATAGGCTCAACTAACTAAACACCCACTCCCTCCAAGTAACTTACCCAATAAGAATGTAATGCTACTCCAAAATGGCAAAAAGGAAAAGATATCAAGAAACATTTGATTCTGTCAAAGTTAAATATATGTGGCAAGAAATAATTGTGTCATTTTTAGCTATTTCTCAACCAAATCAAAATGCAATGTGTTTCAGAGATATCAAAAAAGGTTGCAGCACTCAGAAGATTGGCACTGGCACTCTGATAAATAGATGAGAGGAATTGCTCTGGTAAAAGTCAAGACATTTCCCATTTTTTGATAGTGAAGAATAAGTAAAACCAATATAGACATAACATAAACCTGATTGGTAATTAGCGTGAAGTTCTTCAATCAAACTGGAGGGCAAAGTGTGCTCACAGCAAGAACTGTTGTCAGCCTTCTGCAACAACTTCTTAAATCGTCTAGCCTGCCATGTGGTGCACAAATTTATACCATTTTGAGGATGGAGCATTTGTCGAATGTCAAAAGGGCAATATGAGAAATTATATGTACTCTTTCCCCTTGCAGTTTTATTAAATAATCTAAAGGGCACCAAGAGGTCCTTTCGCAGCAGTGATTAATCAACAACTACAACAAGAAGCCTCATCCCAGCAGTGATTAATCAGGCCCAAAAGAAAGATGATAAGAGATTTAAGCCTGAACACATGCCTTTCTAAGTAAAACTAAGATTGTGATTTCTTCCATTTGACCCCAAAGGCATACAACATGGATTTAGCACAAACAATAGTCAGAAAAGCGTAAACAAACTATTATAGAACCAATCATGACTGCAGCAAGATGACTTCATACCTCATCTTTGGACATCAGTGTGAAGCAACGTCCAGTCTGGCCAGCTCTTGCTGTCCTACCTGCTCGATGAACATAAGTCTTAATGTATTTCGGCACGTCATAATTAATAACATTTCTCACCCCCTCAACATCCATTCCACGGGTCATTGCATCAGAAGACACTAGCACTAGAAACTCCCCTTTCCGAAATTCCTTCAATGTCTTACTGCACACAGAATAACATTTTCATAACCATCTATCCTGTTGAATAATAAAAAATAAAAACAAAGGGGCACAACATTTTGAACCTTAACCTGTGTTCATAGTGACAAATGGAATACAGAACCATGCGTGTACAAGCAGGCAAAAAATATAATCCTTTTATTGAAATAGATGGAAAAAGCAACCGATTCTTTTCAAAGACATTGCACATTTCTTTTCCAAACGCACTTAATTTGATAAAATTTTCAGATATAGTGTTCTTCAATAGAAAAAAGTGATTCCATAGTTCCTTTGCACTACTTATCTAGTTCCTTGATTTAAGGTCATCTAAAGGGGCTCTCTTATGGTCTTTTATTTTTTTCCGTATTTTTCCCCCTTTTTTCCCCTCCTATCTCAACTTACCCCATATTTACCGAGCCTTGCCAAAATATACAAGCCCACATTGCTCCTCCTTAAAAGCACAAGATTGCACTCTTGTCCCACAAGGTTTATGTAATTTAAACTGGATTTAGCTTAGAAAGTACTTTTGAATAAGAAGGTATATATGCGCAATTGCATTTTTGCTACAATATATAATTTCTCCAAGTTTTCAATTAATACCCATGTTTCCCAAAGGCACTCCAAAGCATATCCAATACACCATGTGGCAGAATTGTCATAATTTAAGTAATCTGTGAAGTTTCTAGTGCAACAAGAATTTCATCATGTTGTTGAAGTGTCATATGATATCATGCACAATTCAAAATACATTTTACAGTAAATGGCATGCTCACCTTCTTACACGTTGACGTTGTAGACTAGAATACTCCTTGATCTTAAATTGAAGATCACTAAAATAGTGCAGCAATTTGCACAGACGATGTGTTGAATCCACAGATTTTGTAAACACTATGCATTTTTCTCCTCCCAATGATTTTAAAAGGGCAGCCAAATACAATGGTTTGACCTTTGTGTCACAGATCTAGACAAAAAAGAAATCAAATTTAAAATTCTGAGGAACCATCAAGCGCTCACTATCACTCAAGAAAGTCGAGTTTCACATTGCATTTTACACACAAACATGCACCTGCCAGCAGAACATACCCTCACCCATTTTTGGTGCTTGAGAATGCTGGCAACTGACAGGACTAATTAACCCATCAACGTCATTATCTGATCACACTGGAGTAGATAATCCTGTCGGTGCCCTAGGATAACTCATCCTAATATTAGACTCGAGAAAAGTTAAAAACAGTTACGTGCTGCAAGAAAGATATAACTTTCAGAAGTTGCACGATGAGCAAGACCATGAAGTGATAGGTTCCACTGCTCCCTTTTCATACTCTTTAAATATTCACAACTCCAACTGTGATCCGTCTTAGGACAAAGACCACCAATAAGACAGGCCAAAAACTCACAGTTGTCTCAAATTAGCACACAGCAACTCCACTCAACAATTGAAGTCCTTTGTTATTTGTACCATATCAAGACAAAAATCTAAATCCCCAAATAGAACCAGCTATTTTACCCCATTTTCTAATCCTTTGTCCTTTGGCTACATAAGCAAACCGTGACCTAAGGACGGAGTGTGCAGTGTGTCAAGATTGAGAGCTGTCCCAACTAACATAGCCACTATGAAAGAATTTTAAATCTTTCCGACATAAAAAACCCAACAATTACTGTCACAAACCAATCCTACATCTTGCTTTGAAAGATTGATGAATTGATCAATCAAACTCTGCTAAAAACTAGTAAAACCTAACATAAAAGAGAAAATGACTCAATCAGCTAAAACGTAATATCACGAGATCATTGTGGAAGCAAGAGCAACCTTTCATAAACCTAATGAATTTACCAGTCCTAAAGATAACTCCAAAGAAGCAAGGGAGGAAGAAGCATATCATCCTACAAATTTAATCATCCATAATCATACAACATAGTCTAAAATGGAAGAAACTGAAAGCAAGCAGTTACATTAATTTCTGGAAATTGAATGATACAAGAACGATTCCAGTTTAAAAGGATTCATGCTAATAAATTCATACATTATTCAGGTTTTAATGCTATACCAGTTTAAGTGATTCCAAATTTTCTGGAAGCCTATAACGCATCTGCCCAGCTTTCAAGAATATTGGGTGATGTAGATCAAGTTGAACAAGCTTGCCTGGGTCCTGGGTTATTGTTGCAGATAAAACCATCTTTGCTAGCCTGGGGTAAGGTTTATCTTTAAATCCCCTCTCAACACCACTGTAGAAAATAAAAATAAACATTACAAAAACAATACATATATGAGTAATTATTTCTCTCTCATTAAAGTAAGAAAGTATAAGAGAGAGAAGAGAATCAGTCCCTAACACTGTAAACAAGGATAACACAATAGTTAGAAGACACTAAGATATCAATAATTCAAGAAGTAGCAACATTCTAGTATAATCGACCCAAGATTATTGTTAGGATCCCACTAAGACTACATATGCAACAGTGTGAGTGTACTGATGTGCAGCGCAAAGGATTCATAACTCATAAACCAGATTACTTAAAAACATACTAACCTATTATCTTCATAGGACTTAATTACTTCTTGTGGTGGAGAATCATTCATTTACTTGGCTTCTTGCCACTCAAATTTTCGGAAACAGGACTGAGAACCCAGATAATAAGATCTCTTAAATAAACCCCATTATGACCAAAACATTATAAATACATAATAACATAAAAAGTTCAACAAAGCAACTAACAGGGCAATCTCTACTTTGTACCATTTGGAAGCATTTCTTCTAGCTGTCAAGTCATTAACACAAAATAAAAGAATCAAGAAAATCAACCAGTGGGTGTCCATTTGACCTTAATTAAAACACTCCAAAGTCATATTTATGATCAGATATTCAAAATATTTACTATGATAAGAACATTACAGAAGACAGGTAAATGAACATTGAACTTACCATCTCCTTCTAGTGCTCAATGCACTAAATGAATTAAGAAGAAAAGGACCAGCTTGCGGATAAATATTATTGTCCTTAGATCGAGTCAGCTCCAATACTGTAGGTAACCAGGATTGGTAGGCCTCTCGAAGAAGTCGATCTGTTTCATCAACTACCTGACATAATTTATCTTGTTCACAAAGGTCTATGTACAATAAAGGACTATAACTTAATGCATGTCAACACTTCTAAACAAAAAATCTTAGTACAAGATATGATAACCAAGCTCCTCAGTCTCATAGTCAATTAGTTTCCATCACCAGAATAGTATAAATAAAACTTATAAAATAAGCGGCCCTATGTGTTCCTCTATTTCCCATTGCCTTCAGGGGTTCTTTCAGCAAGAAGGTAGGCTTCAACAAGTATCTACCATATTTGACTATGGCCTTTAAAATTGTTTCCACAACCAACATTCAAAGATACTAAACTGGAATTAAAACAAATCTTTATAACATTCTAGTTCATTATCATCCTTGCACATAATCTTTCTCATCATTTAATAAAATCCTTTTTGCAATGAAAAATAAAAATCAAGAGGCTGCATACAAATATGAGAGGTAATAAGCATTTGCAACCTACAAGATAATAAAGATGCTCAAGTGTGAACCCTTTAGTAGCAGCGATGTGATCCATCAGCCTTCCAGGGGTAGCTACTAATATATCCACCTTACTTTGGAAACCAAGTTGGTACTGAAGTGATATATCTTCTGGATCATAACACATGCCTGCTTCATATCCCGGTACATCCACAAGATTAGTAATCTCATCAGCTATTGAAGATTGACCAACAGCCAAGCCAACATGCAAACCTAGAGGAGATGCAATGGCATCAAAAACTTCTTTAACCTGAAAGTGGCAAGAGAAATCAGGGATAATACGATGGCTCATTTTTAATTGAAAAAAATGGATTTTTCATCTTTGATTTCGCATTAACAAAAATAGAAATGAAAAACTAAAGGTTGATATCTAAAAGAACATATATGAGAGTTCTAGGTTAAATCATTTGCATTGAGAAAGAAAACCATAAATAAAAAAAATTAAAAAAGAAAAACGACATACAGGAAGGCACCTAACCTGCAAGGCAAGATCGCGAGTGGGCACCACCACTAAAGCACGCAAGCATCTTACTATACGGTTTGACAGCATTTGCACAATTGGAAGGGCATAAGCTAAAGTTTTTCCACTTCCAGTAGGAGAATTTATACAAAGGTCTCGCTCAAAATTACCAGGCCCAACTGTCTCTTCCCAGACTGCAACTTGCACAGGAAAGAGCCTAGAGATGCCCATATTCTGCAATGCCAACTTTAACCTGATGTCAGGCCAAAAAAAATAAAATCAACCTGATGCATATAATGTAAAATTAAAAAAAAAATGAACTGGAAGTAAAGAAAATGAGAAAATTCAGAGTAGCATCACATATAGATTATAGACTAATTAAATGCTTAGCCTTCATAAGAAACTGAACCGACTTTGTTGAATTTGAGGGGATAATATATTGGGAGAATGATAACTAAGGATCTCATAAAAAGGTCAATCCCAAATCAGGATCTTCTAAAGATTTTCAGTTCTGAGATATAGGAAAATGAGTGTTGAATTTGGAAACTTAAGTTGTGATGAGATCCTGATTTGATATTAACTTTCTTATGAGATCCTTAGTTGTCATTCTCCCTAAGATATTTACTGAAACAAAATTGGGGGAGGCTAAAACTGTTAAAAAAAAAAAGCATTAGATATTAGCGTTTTGCAGGATAGAATGATTACATAGCAATGAAGATGTTACATTGGGCCTTTAAAGAAATTTATATTTTGGTTCAGGATCTTGTCCAGGAAGCGCCCTAGCTCCCATTAGCACATGTAACCCATCGACCATGTACCAATATGGGTGCAAATCCTCAGCTAAATAAGCAATCTCAATGAAAGCCATCATGTTCCATGCCAAATTATTCATCCGAGGCCATATTTTATATCGACTTCCAAAAAAAAAAGGGAAAATTATACTGATTTATAAAAATCTAATTTAAGTTTAAGATATTATCCTCTTCTATTAAAACAAGAGAAGCGAAAATACCGCGTTCTGCTAGGGCCAAATGCAGCAAAGAAAGCAAATGCCCGCAGAGCATGGACATGGAGGAATCTTATGATGACAGTTCATTCATGCAATAGAATTAGGTGACGCGTCATTGAAAATCAATAAAATTGACCTTCCTACATACTGGAAGGTAAGATTGATATGAGCCCGCCTACAGTCAGTTACTTTACGAATCACACAGTCCGCAAGCTATATATTACATCTAACAATAAGAAGAAAGACGGAACATGTAAACTATCACCAAGAAAAAAGGATGGCCCATAAGAAGAAAATGTAACTTCTAAACAATATCCTGCAGGCTCTACTTCCGCGTTCTCTACAGCAACAATTCATCAGAAAGTTGTCTTTACATTCACTACTTCTAATCGTGGCAGAAGAAATAAAGTAAAAATAACAATCCAAGCAAGGAACAAAAATGATCCAGGACACAGAGAAACACTTAAACTCTATAGTCATATAGCATAACTGAAGATAAAACTGCAAATAAACGAGGAAATAGAATGAATAAGTACTTGGGGTGAAGACAAGGAACGCATTCGAGGGGGCATTCTTCAGATAGTGTGACATCAACAGGGTCCCGCATCCATGGCAGCACTGGCACACTTTGCTTCTGTTCACCCATCTTGACTTCCTTCAAGGCTCCAACACCAACACTCTTCACCGTTCCCTCAACTGTGATGGGGATTAACCATGGAAATTAATAACGTGGGAAGTCTGTCTGAGTATGTCGAACAGAGGAAGCAAGAGGCGACGAGAGACAGTCGAGAAGAGTCAGTTTAAGTCAGGTCTGGAGGGTGGGGTGGGGTGGGGAGCGCACGCGGAGGCGGAGAGGCGAGGAAGCACCAGGTTTTTTCTTTTTCTTATCTTTTTTTTTTTTTAATAAACCGTTTCGTTATTTGAATTGAGCAAGACACATATATTCATCGGCTCATCAACAAGCGTCACACCATTATTCAGCTGAAAAAATGGGATGGCTCAGTTTTATAAGGCTGCCTTTTGATGGGTTCGAGCTTGAAAGAATCCGTCTATTTAAGTTTGAGTTTTTTTATGATAGTAAAATATGAAGTTTGACCCTTAACATAACAGGTTTAAAATTGATCTTGCAAGCTTTAAACTTTTTTAATTATTTTTATTTTCTTTAAATTTTGTTATCAAACAAAAAATTATTTCATTTCAATATAATATATAATCAAGAAAACAATAAAAAAAAACTAACTAAGCAACATTTAAATGAACTAAAAATGTAAATAAAATGACAACAAGACACCAAATAATGGATTAGATAAGCTAACAAACACTCAATTTAAATTAAATAAGATTAATGGACTGAAATATGAGATTGAGAGATCTATATGAGTTAAGAGATTTAGGGTTTCTTTATTAGCCTTCCTTCTTCAACAAATATGGGTTCACATGTGATGTAAAATAATATTTAGTTTAATCTTTTTTTAAGTTTAAAAAGAGTTAAAATTATAAAAATAAAAAAAAAAGTATGTGTGGGCTTAAATGGGCCAACCCTCGACCCTTAAGGGTCAACTTGTTTAAATCCAAAATTTTTCACTATTTCTTAAGCTCGATTTATCATTTCAGTAATTAATTTACAAGCTCAACCATACTGTTATACGAATTTAAATGAGTTGGCCCAATCAACTTAGCATGTTTTTCCAACTCTGCTTGTGGGAGATTTTTGTTATCACCAAATTTCAATTTTTGGAAGAAAAATGTTAGTGAGAAATTCAAATATTATAATAATAAGCATTGTTTTAAATTTTCATGATGAAATATATTTTAATAATTTTTTAATGTTGATGAAATTTTACAATTATAATTTAAATATTCAATTTTTTTTATCCAGCCAATTTAAACATTAATGAGTACGTAGATCTAGAGTACTTGTTATATCAAAAATTCTTTTTTAAATTTAGGAACAAATTTGTCTCTATTGGTATCGCATTTTTTTGACAACTTACTTAATACTCTCGTTTAAAATACAAGCATTTTTATAATAATTTGCATATTAATAAAATTTTTATTTTTATAAAAATATATATTATTTTATCTTCTTATTCTTAATTTCACTTTATGATGAATGAGACCAAAATCATAGATTTACCAATACAAGAATTTAGGTTAATAAATATAGAGTTCACTTTCCTCTGTTATAGTTGAGAGAACTTTGCACATCTAAGCTGTTAGATTAAATTTAATAATTTTTAACAATATAAATTAATTTATATTGTTAAAATTTAATTCAAATGGTTTAGATTTTCAATCAAGAAAAATCAGGTTTAATAAATAAATATGAGAGATAAAATAGATTTTTTAATGTTAAGTTATTCATATTTTGAATCACAGCTAAATAGGAGAAAGGGCTTATATTTTAAACTAGATCGAGTACATAGTTTCTCGTAGCTTGTTGTCACTAAAATCATTTTAGCTAATCAATTCACTCTTTTTAACCGACCTCGGCTTCGTCTCACCCTTCTCCCCCAAATCTTCATCTCTCCACAGTCTTTGGGTCAACAGTCATGCGTTCTCATTTTCTCTTTCGCGATTTACAATCATTTGTTTATAAATATAAGCTTTCAGAACTAGAAGGCTCATGGCGTGTATTGTTGTTTCAGAGCCAGAAGGCTTACATCCTATCGCTTCACTTGCCCACCATCGTATCGCCGTCATCACATAAGCTTTCAGAACCAGAATGCTAATGGCCTTTAGCCTCCATGAAACACAAGCATTGAATTTGATAGCATGAATTTTATTTTGATTAATGTTATGAAGATACAAAAATAAAAATAGAAAAATAAAGATTAAGAACAAGCAATAAAAAGAGAGAGTTCCAATTCCAAATCGCTTCGCGAAAGAATTTTCGCATACCTTGGTTGAGGACGACACCTTCATGGTCACCTTTTAAATGTTCCTATTTTTCGGTCTTCTTTTACGGCCACTTTCCACGTGTCGAATTTATGAATTTGCGATTACCTTGTAATCTTACTATTTGATTAATTCAATTTGTCCTTTTACCCAAAAAAAAAAAAAATTGAATGCATGTTCGAATGTCAAGATCAAAGAAAGTCAACTCTCCAGAATATTTAAATTCTTATATCTATATTATATATATATCGATATAACAAGTCAACCATAACGAGCCACGGTGTTCTATAGATTGATTGATGATTGGCTTCTTTCTCAGAATTCTAGTATAATATAACAATACATTAATACACACACACACACACATGAGACCCGTGTTACTTCAGTATATGTTAGTTAGTTAATGTAGTTTTCACAGCCATCTTAATCTCAATAATAAAAATTTTAAGCACCCATTCCATTTTTATTTACAAGTTATTCTTAAAATGTTTATTGAAATTAAGAAAAATTTTAAAATTTATTAACTATTATTAAAATTAAAATTTAATAAATTTTTAACTTTTTTCCTTATTAAATATATACATTTAAATTATGTGTTTTCTCAAACCAATATTTAATGAAATAAAAAACTCATGATTAAAAAGTCAATTATATACTCTCTTCATTCAAAAATGTAAGATATTTTTAACTGAATCTTACTCTCCAATAAAGTAATTATTTACTTTTAAACTAATCTTATCTTTTTATATTTACTTTTATTAAACACTCTACAATAAATATAAAAACATTCATTAATAGGGATATTTTTTTTTAAAAAAGGTAATGATTGTATTTTAAAAAATTGAAAATACTTTATGAATAGGATAAAAGGAAAACCAACTAATTTCATTTCAAAAAGATTTAATTATTGGTTCAAGGGCAAATGTGCTTCTGAACTTTTCTTTAAAGTATAATTGATATCATTAACTTTTTCCCTTTAGATTTTTCAAAAACAATGTAATGCTGTTCAATTTTAACATATACAGATATTTGACTATTAGTTGAGCTAATTGTGCCTAGCCAGCGTGCTTATTTTGCATTCACCTCACTTCTCTTTTTTGCTTGAATTAAAGCTATGCCCGTGTCGCAAAATACAAAACAGTAGACGATGACCAAGTGTCCAAGCTTGTCAAGAACTCTAATTCCACAAACAACTCTAGCATTTACCATGTTTTCCAGTCATCCAGATAGCAATCAAAGAACCAATGCCAGAGAAATCTTAAAGAAGGTGAAGTGGAAGAAGTTAAAGAAGTAGCCTAGAAGTCGAAGACGACTTTGCGCTATGATTCGGTGCCTGATTTTATAGAAAAACTCTATACTCTTGCCCAGAATGACATCTTTTGTCATTCTTTGTTCGGGAATCAAATGTCATGAAGCAGGATCTGATTTTGAACACAGTATTATCAAATTCCAAGCCTGTTCAGTTAGAGCACTAACAAATTTACATCCCTCGACATCGGTCTCAACCAATATAGAATCTGCGTCCAACTCTTGCCTTTCACTCACACTCTCTGCCTATGGCTGCTCCTCCAGTCACGATTGGTCTTCAACCTCGTGCTGAACTCAAATCAAGAAAACCCAGAAGCAATGAAACGCGAGAAGTATGGTTTGACCTAGAGAGAAGAGATTGGAGGGCTTCTTTGAAATAAAACACAGCTCTCAAGAGACATGATCGGAGATTAGTCGAGACATGTGCTTGGGCAAAAGTTGCTGCACTTTCTTGCTCTGCGTCTTCATGCTCATCTTGCTTGTCGGCTTCCTCTTTGGCTTCAGTGTCTTCCGAGATGGCATCCAGAAGATCAAAGAGAACACCACTCCTTCAAACGCATTTGTTACGCACCTCTGCCGTTGTCCTACTGACGTTGCCTTCACCGATTCATCAATTAATCAGAGACACCAAAGTAATGCCTCCTTTGATTCACCTGGCAAGGATTGGATTGCGATGAAGAAGGAAGAAGATACGAGAAGGGAGAGAATAGAGACTTCCTCATTTTTTTTTTAATTTTTAAATCATGCATAAGGTTGCTAGCCATACACGAGAGGAAAAAAAAAAATAAAGCGCATGGACAAACCACCTAAACTCAGTGTAGTTGGGTATTGGTTAAACGTTTTAATTTGTTAAAATTAAATAACATTGTACTATCTTTAAAAGGTTAGGTTGAACATTACACTTTTTAAAAGTTAAGGTTATCAACTGCCCTTTAAAAAAAATTAAGGATGGATTTACTGTTTAACCCTTTAATTGTTTACTGGGTTTGGTAAAAATATATTTTAAATTTGATTTGAAAATGTTTTGAGGGCTTTCGGTTTGTTCACGAGAAGCCCCTTTTTGTCCCGATACGCCTTCTCCTCCTCCTCATTCACAGAAAATTGAAAACATACAGGCTGTATTAAATGCCTAATCATTTCGCGCTTTTTTTAATCTCGAGATTCTCTTCGTTCTGCTCTCGATCACCCATCCCATTTTATTTCACTTTTCATTCTCCGTACCAAATGCCTTCAGATCTCCGCCGGCCCAAAATTCAATTTATTTCTTATATGGAAATGGAAGGGGAAATAATTTATACGATTTTCTTTTTAAATTCAAAATTCTCTTGAATCTCTCTCTCTCCCTCTCTCTAATCTCCTCCGATTTTCCCCTCCGTTGATCCATCCGAATTCATGGGTTCTATCTTTGATCGAACCGTGGGCGATTTCCCGACCCATTTCTACTTCAATTACGAAGGTTAAGATTTTTTGGATTGGTTTCTTCCATTTCAAGGTCCCTGCAGGATCAGGGGCTGATTTTGTTTCATATTTGGGTTCTTTATGGGAAGCAAGAGAAAATGAAGGTGACGAAGTCTCAGGTGTGGCAGCCATGCAAGAAGAAGAGGTCTTGATAATTTGTGGGGAAGCTGTAGAGAGGCAGTGAAGGAATTTTGCAGATAGAGAACCAAAGGGCACTTTCAGGAATAGGGAAGGAGAAAAACGATGTCGTCTCGTACCGGAAGTTCTGGCGGCAAGACCCGCGCGGGAAAGTTCGAGCTGGGTCGGACACTGGGTGAGGGCAATTTCGCCAAGGTAAAGCTTGCCTGGAATGTCGAGACCGGAGAGAATGTGGCCATTAAAATTCTTGACAAGGACAAGATTCTCAAACACAAAATGATTCGCCAGGTATGTGATTTTCAGTAATTTATGTGTATTTTCATCTTTAGAAATGATCGTGGATTGTATATGTATATTTATTTTTCTCCCATCTTTTAATAATTTTTTAAATTTAAATCGTTGATTTGATAATTGATATGTTGTTCTGGAATTTATGGTTGATTTGGCTTTCTTTTAAGGGAAAAAAAATTATAGAAGACAGATTTGCCGGTTTATTTGATGAATCGACTCTGTCACTATCTGAGCCGTCTTTAGTGTCTATTTTTCCATTATTTGATTGCTGGGAGTAGTTATTCTGTTTCATCATCAACTGAGAGTATTTCTTCGCTATGGTAAATGAGAAAGGATGTAATCTTGCACACCTCTGTAATTGTAGATTAAGGAAAATGGTCAACGGTGATTTGATGTGTTCCCTGTAAACTCAGCTAAAGCTGAAAAATGACGAGAGAAAATCTTGTATAATTAGGAATCATGTATTTTTCTTCACTTTTCTGGAAAATAATCAAAGTTGACTAAGATTACTTGGTTTGTCTCAATGGATCTACTTCTATTTTTTTTGGATTCATTCACTTTCTGAACCTGCTATATCATTTCCTTGGTGATTTAATTTTGCCACTCTGGATGTAACCACCCCCCCTTTTGATTTGAGTTATCAAAACTCAAAATTTTACACGGTAACACATGTTTTAGTTGTTATTGAGAGGCAATAAATTAGCTAGTGCTATCGGTTTCATATTATTTGTGTTGCTCAACATTGCAACCGATCAGCTAACATTGCCAGGGAAGTACCATGCTTTGGTGCGGTGGCATGCATAACTTGTGCGAGTGTGGCAATCTTCTGCTAAATAACTAGGACTCTATTCTTCAAAGCTTGAACATTCTAGTCTCATTTATATTTTGTGTGTGTCGGTATGCAGATAAAGCAAGAGATTTCGACAATGAAATTGATTAGGCACCCAAATGTCATACGCATGTATGAGGTTAGAAGGAAGTAAATGATTAATTCCATGCATCTTTATTTTGCATGCTCAATTTTCTGCGGGAGATTTGTTGTTCATCCATACTCTCCCTTAAATTTATTTTGCCCTTTGCATTAGGCATAATAAGCAACTTCTGCAGCATTTATATTGTAGGTTATGGCTAGCAAGACAAAGATATATATTGTACTCGAATTTGTGACTGGTGGGGAATTGTTTGATAAAATTGTAAGGCTGTTTGCCTTTCTCTTTCCTTCTGATGGTAAACTATTGTAATCTGAGTCCAATGCTAATGTTATTGCTATATTATTGTGCAGGCAAGCAAGGGCAGGTTAAAAGAAGATGAAGCAAGAAAATATTTCCAGCAGCTTATATGTGCTGTGGATTACTGTCACAGTAGAGGTGTTTGCCACAGGGATCTAAAGGTGAGTCACTATTGCTGTTTGTAACTTTGTATCTTTCACTATTTTTCCTGTTTTGCCTGGCTTTTTTGATTGGGAGGGAGGGAAGAAAAGGCTTTTTTTTTTTTTGGGTGGGGGTGGGAGTTGAAGGTCTCTTGTCTTCAGTGATGTATTCTGAATGAAATTATTAAGTCTAGGATGGAATGTACTGAGACTAGAGTGCCAGGGAGAGTGAGATGGAAAAAGAAAAAATAACTTGTTTAACTGTATTTGTCTTTTACAGCCTGAAAATTTGTTGCTGGATGCTAATGGAGTTCTTAAAGTTTCAGATTTTGGATTGAGTGCACTGCCTCAACAGCTTCGAGTTAGTATATTGATTAATTTCTTATAATATAAAAAATACAACGATACTCATTTTTTTGAGTAAATGATATTCAATTTCTTAATTAATTGTCCTTTGATCTGACTCAGGAAGATGGGTTGCTTCACACAACATGTGGTACACCAAATTATGTTGCCCCAGAGGTATTATGGCTGTTTCTGCAATTTAACATATCTTTTTCTCGTGAACTTTTGCTTTTGTAATTTCTGCTTCTATTTTTTTAGGTGATCCACAACAAAGGCTATGATGGTACGAAGGCAGATCTATGGTCATGTGGTGTTATTCTTTTTGTTTTGATGGCTGGCTACTTGCCCTTTGAAGATACTAATATTATGTCTTTATACAAAAAGGTAATTCTTGTTATTATTATTTTGTTTTTGTTTTTTTTTTTGCTATACTAGGCAATTGTTCAAAACGTGACTTTAACTAGTGATGTTCATGAGCTAAATATTGTTTTGGTGTTTGGCTTGATAAAGCACTCGGGCCAATTGTTTTTGGTTCAATGCGCAATCCATGCAGTCCCTATTTTATAAAACAAAATCTCTTCATGATATCCAGTAAAAGCATGGGAAAAAAATCCTTAACTCCTAGATCATTCTCTATGTTTTCCATTGATCAACTATAATTATGGCATTGCTTCGCCATTATTCCCAAAGAGCAAATACCCTCTATATGCCTCCAAGAAATCTAGAATCAGAATGAAACATCTCTTTCCATGAGTTCACTTATTCCTCCAAATTCATATTCATAATTTAGAATGTTATGCAAACAAACGGCAAGACTGATGCTGTATTGCTGTGATTAAAGAGTCTTATGCATGCACGCCAGAGAGAGAGAGGGGGGGGGAGAGAGAGAGATTGTGTAGAGATTAACAAATTGGAGAAGAAAATATATACTATGTGTTGTAGATGGCCCAAAAGGATCTTGAAAATCTGCCCTGTCTACTTTTATGGTCAAATGGAAACAGAAGATGGAGAAAAAGAAAGCTTTGTGCTTGTTAAACAGTTGGCTGATGGTTATAGAGAAGAATGGAATGATAAAAATGTTTGAAAAAACTAAAAATAACCCTAGTAGAGGAGTGAATTGGCAAAGTGAGGTGAGGCTGAAGGATTTCAATTTGGAGGGGAAGAGATGGGATGGGATGGGATGATGTTGTTTTAGGTATAAAACTTTAGAAATATATGATAACAATAAGGTTAAGGTGCAATTTTGCCCTTAAATTATTCGCGAAGGAGCAACGTTGCCTCTGAACTATTCATCTTAGCATTGTTTTTTCTAAACTAATTAAATTGGAAAGAGGAAAGAGGAAGACGCACAAGCCTGAGCAAACAGAGAGGGAGGGAGGGAGAGTGTTTTCTCTTTCATTAGACTACCAACTTGCACCACGTCATAAGCTGAGGGAATAACTCACTGCCACATATGCCAAATAAATGGGATCCACTTGCTTCAGATAGTGGACGTTGTTGTGTTTTAAATGGTAGGGCCAATATTGCTCTAATTTAATTAATTTAGGGGTAAAATTATATCTTAACCCATAATAATGCGACTACTGAGTTGGATTGATCTAAATTGGTTGGACATCTTTGCTCATAGCCCAGCCCAACTCATATGTCCAGCCCTGGTACCTCACCTCAAGATTGACCCTTTTTTTGCATGTTTCGATTGGGCTGGCTAAGTCACTGGTGGTTCAATGTACAACCCTGCTCTTAATAAGGATGGCAGGTCTGCTGTCTGCCAATTATATGATATTCCATAAATATGTCACCTTTAAACAATTGTGCATTGCTTGATGATGGAATGCATTTTCTAAAAAGCATGCACGATCGCTCCTCAATTCTGGTCATTTTCATTTTTTGTTCTTGCTACAACTTTGACTTCCATATATTTCCTCCATTTACTCTATCTACTTGTGCCACTAGAAATTTACTACCTCTGTGATGCTAATACCTCTAATATACTGATACTACTATGAAGTACACTGATGTTGGTTATCTGTTGCAACTCAAAAAGTTGGTTAAACTCCAATTACCCAAATTCTGCTTTTAAGTTACTAAATTTTACTTGCAAGCTGGATGCTGAGAAATTGAGGAAAGGGTAGGAAAGTAGTGGCAAGTTCTCAGAGAGACAAACTTACATGATGAAACAGTTTCTTGAACTCAATCAGAGATTTGAAATAGGGGGCTTCCCTTTAATAGGAACAAGAGGTACCGGTGGCTGTGCTAACTAAGTTGAATTTTGAACCACTAAGCAATAGAATATAGAGCTTTTTCTGCATCTTCTCCTACTTGGGTTTCTTTATTGCTGTTTTCTGTTAATGTGCTGCTTCAAATTGTTCTTGACATATCATAACTCACAGATCTTCAAGGCTGATTTCACATGTCCTCCATGGTTCTCATCAAGTGCAAAGAAAATAATCAAGAGAATTCTTGATCCCAATCCTGCTACAGTATGCCCTTTTGCTATGTTAATTTAGCTGAAGTTACTTTCTGTCTCCACAAATCTTTGTTTTGGCTGATGCCTAATAGTCTGTTTTCCAGAGATGTCAAACAAACTGTTTTTCTTTTTGATGATGTCTCAACAGCGAATAACAATTGCTGAGGTCATTGAGAATGATTGGTTTAAGAAGGGATATGTGCCTCCTAGGTTCAAGCAAGCTGATGTTAGTCTTGATGATGTAGATGCTATATTCAGTGAATCAGCGGTGCGCTTTTTGTTTTACATCTGTCTTTATTATGATTTATTAGAGCATATGAGTTCTATTTATGATTTTAACATTCCTTGCGTGGTGCACAGGATTCTCAAAATTTTGTTGATGAGAGGCGAGAAGAGGCACCAGTGGCTGTGGCACCTATGGCTATGAATGCTTTTGAACTTATCTCTACATCTAAAGGCCTTAACCTTGGTAGCCTTTTCGAGAAACAAATGGTATTTTCATAGCAAAAAGAATGGTAGCTTGACTTTTATTAAACCTTGGCTCCCAAGAATAAGTTTGGAATGGGTTGGAAAGAAAAACTGAATTTAAGTAATGACATGTTCTTGGTCAAGATTCTTCTAATCACAGGAGATCGGATCACAATTGCTTATTGACATATTCCTGATCTCTTTTGTCCTATTATGTCATTGGTTTGAACTTGTTTGGAATAGGAGTGCCTAATCTTTCCGTCTTGATCCTAATAAAATTGATATTGAATATAGATTATGATCAGTTTGCCTTTCTGGCAACTAGGGCCTTGTTAAAAGGGAAACAAGATTCACATCCAAATGTCCAGCGAATGAAATAATTTCAAAAATTGAGCAAACTGCAACGCCTCTGGGTTTTGATGTTAGGAAGAATAACTACAAGGTAAGATTACTATTCTCTTAGCTTACTCTCTTTTAACTCAAATGTAGCTATGCACTTTGATGGCTTTTTTGCCCTTTTGTTACTCTGTCTTTGTATTTGCCTATGTTACTTTGGTGTTGATGCAAATATTGGTATGGGGTATGGTAATTTTCAAAAAATATTGGGTACTGCTATCATAAGATGTAATTTTACACAAAAGCATATATAATATTTATAATTTGTATCTGTATTGAAAATAATATATGGTTGATATATTGTCAATCAACTTGTTAAGTTACCTGGAACCCACGCAGTTTGATGTTGAGTTCAAGAAGACCCACAACAAGTACGTTAAACCAACACTATTTATTTATACAATTTTGCAACCTGCAAAGCTTAGATAGAGAATAGGAAAAATCCATTGAGTGCTATCCTATAAATGTATTTTGCCATACCCTATGCTTACTCACACCAATATTGGGTAGTCATCCTGCGCTTCACAGGCAGACACGTGCAGACAAACATTGCAGTAACTTAAGAACTCCTTCACAGTTATACTTACCTGGGATAATTTGTAACTCAGTCCTGAGATAACGTCTTAACAGTAATAACTTATTGTTATGAATGTTTTCCTTTTGATAACACTTCTTATTGTCTGTTACTCCATCTCAGTTAAAGCTTCAAGGGGAAAAGAGCGGACGCAAAGGACATCTATCTGTCTCGACTGAGGTAAGTGTTTCTCAAAGTATTTCCTTTCAAAAGGTGCTCTCTATTTCTTCTTTTTTATGTCCTTGTAATCAGGAGTCGGATGCATTTCTAGTGATTGATTTTATCGTTTTTACAGATATTTGAGGTGGCCCCTTCAATTTGCATGGTTGAGCTTCGCAAGTCTGGAGGAGATACTCTGGAATTTCATAAGGTTACATTCTAGAATGCACAAATAAATACATAAATTTTCCAAGTAACTTCCTTCCATTAGTAATGGTTTTGGTACTTTCACCTTTCAGAGCAGATTTTTTTTTTTTTTTTTTTTTTTGCTTTCTGTCATTTACCAGTCATTGTTTATCATGTTGCTTTCTGCTCATGCTTGTGTTGTGAGTTAATCAAGTCCATTAAATTATGTTTGTTGGTTCATTTTGCTTTTTAATAATAGAATAAATGCCCTAGTCCGCGTTATTGAATGTTGCATGCTGTAAATATCTGCATAGAAAGATTCAAACTATGTTCAGAAGCATCTACAGGCCGTTAACAAAAATCCCTTTTGCCCTCTACAAGTTTTATACAAATATTTTCTAGTCTATTGGACTGAATTTTGGACTAAGTTGTCTTTCTTTACAGTTCTACAAGAACCTATCTACCGGGCTGAAGGATGTCGTTTGGAAAGCAGAACCTATAGATGAAGAAACAAATGGTTAGTTTTAATTAGCAACCATCTTATTTGAGAACCAGCTGCAGTTTCATACCAAATTCTAATGCTTAGTGGGGAATGGGGATATACTGTTATATTCTCTAGATTTTTCCTCCCACCTTTATTGGTCCCATATCCTCCTGTTTCTTCTCCTATTCCTCTGTTACTTCTCTATCCTCTTGCTTGGGATTTGAGGTGACTTTGCTTTGGATAAAGCTCCAAAGATAGCCTTGACAGTAATACGTAAAAGGAATTCTGGGCAAAAGGCTAGAAAAAAAGTAAAAAAAGAAAGTTAAATATAGTGAGGGTTGCTTTTCTTCTCCCTTTTTAGGGACTATCTGGTAAACTTATTTGGAATTATTAAATAATATTTCTCCCTTTTATACAGGTGCTGCTGCGTCGAGATAGCTTTGTTTTCACATCTTCATGACTGCTTGTGCACCTTCACGGTCTTGGCTTCCTTGGATCTTTTCTTTCATTCGGGGCTCTCTTTCTGTGACATTCGGAATGAGATAAGATTATGCATGTCAAACCCTATAAACTAATAAATGGCGCTTTAATAACTCCTGTGTGTTGGCTCTCTGTGGACGCTCATATGTATGCTCGGAGAAAATCTATGTCAATTCCCATACAAGCAATCTAAATTACAAAAAAAATCATGAAATTATAAAATTATTCTAAAATCTTGTGTCCTTTTTTTTTTTTAACGAAAAACAAACTCAGGCCTTACTTTTTTTTCAATAACTCTCAAGTCTTCCCCCCCCCCCCACAAACCCCCTATCCTACACCCTTCCTTATAAGAAAGGGGTCCTGCACGCATGTGTCACACATTCTATATACAACTTTGAAACAAATGATGAAGTTGAAATTTTTTAATATTCATTTATTGATTTATCGAATATGATTCATGTTATAGTTTGTTTTTTAAAAAAATATAGATAAACTTGAAAATTTATTTTAAATATGTCACTAGTAAATAATAAGATCACCCTATCACTATTTTATTTAATTCTGCGCAAGGAGCTTTGGCTGTGGTGGCCATTGTTCAATTAACTTTTCACGTGCTATGACTCAGATAGGTTTGATGTAAAGGCTTCAGTGTTGAGAAGGTGAAAATAAAATTGTACAAGTAATTATAAACAAAAACTATAAAAAAAAGAGTAAAAATTATTACTTTTGATAAAAATTATTTTATAAAATTGTTTAAAAAAAATCCTTGGATGTATGGATGTTTTACCGTTTAAAAGTTAGAAGTAAATAATTAATTTTATTCCATAAATAGTCATACCTATGGAAATTAAAAAATTAAAACACTTGCACTCCCTCCATTTGAAATATAGTAATGTATTTTTAATCTAATCACATATCTAAGAAGTTAATTGTTTTTAAAGTAATAAAAAACTTTCTATTCTTGTCTTTATTTAATAGAAAGTCTCACTTAAAGATGAAGGATTTAGTGATTTATTTATTAAGGTTATTTTTTAAAAAAATAAACTCATCAATTATATTACAAAATTAAAAATGTTTTATATGTTTGAACTTTTAGGTTAAAAAAATTCTTATATTTTTAAACAATGAGAGTATTGTTTTAGAATTTGTTATCTTCATGTATTAGCAACTTATTTTATTTTGAAATTTGTCACCTCATATATATTAAAAATATAAATAACTTATTTTTTGTGTCAACAATTTGTTTTATTTTCATATAATTTATTTTAAAATTTTTTATTACATACTTATTAAATTATAAAGAATTATCGCTATGGATGTAATAACTTTGTTAGTAAGTAATATGTAAGAACCTTTATAGACAATCTTTACGAATAATAATTTGTTTTATTATTCAAGACACGATCAAATATTAAATGTGGATACATCTCATGAGAATTTGAGCATAGATTTAAGACATTGTGAGGGATTGACCTTTTTTTGTTTGACTCAACTCCGTTGATAAAACTAGCTTATTTGATAAGTATGAACATTCTCATTCTAGAAAGTGATTATTAATAATTCATTTTATAAATCATTTTATATAAAAAGATGATTTAATTATTTTATTTTAATTTACCATTTTGTGATGACTAGAATAAAATATTTTTTAATTAGAAGAGCCAACACTAATAACTTGAAGTTATTAGTGAGATTGAACCTATGACCTCTTATTTATCGGAGAGCTTCACATTACTAAATTACAAAGCCATTAGTAGTAAGATAAAGTAGGATGAAATATTAAATGTGTTAGAGTATACATTTGTAATCTATAATATATATATTAATAGGTTTTCTTTTTTTGTCAAATGGGTACTGTACATCTGACATTTTCTTTTTCCTTTAATTTTTATTTTTTAATTTTTTAAATATGATATAGTAAATAAAAAAAAAAATAATGTGAGCCCTGTAGTAAAAGAGATACATGTGGGACCTACAAAAATAAATTTTATATATATATGAAACTTATAATTAAAAATGAGTAAAATATTTTATCTTAATTAATGATACCTCTCTTTTATTTTTTGAAACCTATATGAATATTTTTAATATGAATAGTTGTAAAATACAAGCCTTCCTTTTATTTTTAAGATATTATTTTCATCTACCTAACCATTCGTTGACTATTAAGTCACATGTGTTAGACTAAAATACCCCTATTTAAATATAAATATTGTCTAAAAATCATTTAAATTATGAAAAAAATTATTTTTTTTATTATTTAAATATATTAATTTTGTAACTTTAAAAAACTTAATATATAAATTGGCCAAAAAAATTCAAATACATAGTTTATAGACTCAATAAAGAAAAAATATTTTTAATAATTTGAAATAATTAAACTAACCTAAATAAATCTGAAAGCTTAAGGTGTTAAGAGTGAGGCTAGACTATAATTTTTTTATATATTCAAATATTTTAAACTTTTTATAAATTGAGGCTCTAAGAATAATAGAGGAAATGTAAGATTTTAATAAACTTGATTTTTAAAAATTAGAGTAGTGTGATTTAAAAAAGTGACATGTGGGATTACCATTAAAAAATATGAGTGAGGTGTATATTTATAATTTTTAAAAATTTAAACAAGGTGTCAAAAATGATAAGATTTTTATATTTCGAGAAATCATGTAAAATTTTATAGTAAAAATTAATGGTGAATATAAGATTTTTAGTAAAATAATATGTGTTAGATATGCAAAGAATTTTTTTATATATTTATTATTAACACAAGATAACAAATCAAAATAGTTTGCGTGAGCATATATAGAATAAGTTTTGTTTATATTATTCACATCCATGAGGAATAAAAATCTATTATTTTATTATTTATATGTAAAAGTTGATTATGATTTAAACACCTATGCAAAATATTAATGTAGCTATGTGCCTTAAGTCTGAGCAATAGAAATTACAGGCTACAAATTAATTATATAATATTAATGAAATTATCTTCCACTTCATGCCTAATCTTTTCTTAATAATCATTGTATTACTTGTAATACTTGTGCGTAAGACTGATAAATGGTAATAAAACACGGATCATATTATTTGCTTTATTTAGAACCATTGTAATTGAGATTTATAAATAATATTATCGCATAAATTGTAGCAGGACTCATTATAATATATATTTTATTTTTCTTAATGTGATACATAGAGCAATACATTTTGAAAAAGAACAAACTAGATTATATTACAAATTGCAGGAATTTTAGTTTCTTAATGTAAGGAATTTTAAAAATAATGCTAATTTTTAATATGTATAAGAGTAGCACATTACAAAATAGAAGCTATTCCTTATGAATATCATTTCATTAAAATTTAGTTTTATACTTGCTGACTATGGGGATATTAAAAAATAAGAAGAAGAATTCCTTAAATTTTAACTTATACGAGATAATACATTCTAAAATAAAATAAGTTATTATTTATATTTTTAATATGTATGAATATAATAATTTTAAAATAAAACATTCTTTAGATTTTAATTTGCACAAATTAATAATTATACAGTAAAATAAGCTAGCATTCCTTTTATTTGTTAGAATTACAAAGACATTCTTTATTTTAAAACTTACACTTTAGTGTCATTAATTAAAATTATAAAATTTTAATAAACATAAATATAAATTATATAAATTAATTTATCTCTTATTCCATTAATTTTTTTTTTACAAATACGTGTTTGAAATATTATTTTAGTAAAATTACTTCCTTAGTTAAAAAATATAAATTATATGGGCATTTTTTAGGAGTTATTTTTTAAGGGTTGGATGTTAAAAAATATAAGATATTTTTAGTGTTTGAAGGTATAATCATTAATTTTTTTCAAAAATGTCCATAATGAATAAATTATTTTATATTTATTTTAGAGTTAAACACCCAATTAAATAGTAAATATGAAAAGATGGTGTTATTTTGAAGACATGTAACTATTTTATTGAGTGTGAGATTCGATTAAAAATGCTTTATACTTTTAAAAAAAATGAAGTATCTTTAAAAAATATTAAACAAATTAATTTGTATGACTAATAAATTTAAGATATAAATAAAAATTTAAAATAATATATCAAGAATAGTAACTATCAACTAATGATTACATGCGTAAAAATAAAAATTTAAAAGTAGAAAGCATATTTATATTTTGTAATTCTAATTATTGATTTTAAAAGGGATTCATATAGATTTTTAAAATAAAAAATTATTTATAATTAAGATAAAATAAAATAAAAATAATATATTTACTTTAAAATATTAAAATATTATTTTAATATTTTTATTTTAAAAACACAGGGTATAAATCTAGTTTTTTTAATAGTTGGGAGAGAATACACTTTAAAAATATGTATTTAATAAAAATAAATTATTTTTTAAATAATAATATAATAATTTAATTATATTTCATTGGTTGTCGATGAAACGGTTTAAGGTGAGGGAGTGTAAATTAATAAATCATATTTTTATATGGTTATTTAATTGAATTAAATTTAAGTATTGTTAATTTTAATTATAAATAACTCACTTTTTATTAACGAGTTTGAATCTAACGCAGTGGACTAATATTTCATAATGATGAATTAAGATTTAAACTTTTATTGAAAGAGATACTTGCTTTTAATTCTTGCCTATATCTTGAAATGAATTACAGCAATGCTCGATCAATACATTTACGCATTCTCAAATTCAAGATTTTGTAGAACATTATTTTTCCCCCCAACGTTAACCATATCAGAAGGATCTGAGTTTCCTAATCCCAATCAACAAATCACTGTGGACCCAAGCTTCCAAGTCATCAGCAAAACTCGTGTTTACGCTCGCACTCGCTCAGAGACACGCGCTGGCACTCGCCTATATAACAAAGCTCGCATCCCGCTTTCGCTGAATTCCATTGCTTCGAAATTAGAGAAAGCGAAAGAGATGAGGGAAGAAGTAATCAGCTCCGGAGGCACCGTTGATCCCACAGCTAGGTACCTACTACCTGTTCTTTCTCTCTCTCTATTCCTTAGGCTCACATACTTATACAAGCAAAACATTGTAATGTTCTTTAATTAGGGTTTCAACGTACATTCAGTTT